AAAAAGATTTAACATTAAAAATTATAAAATCGACTGATTTTTTTTCAATACGTAGAACGCGTCTTTTTAATTAATTCATCACATGGGCGTGACGTAAATGCACAGCCACATGCTATTATGTGGCTGAGAAAACCAAGACAATTATATAATCATTCCACTATCTCCTTACAATAGTCTCAAAGGTTATACTTTAATATTTTGTAAAGCTTTCATTTTTCGCACAAATACTGTAACGAAAAATACTGAAATGAATGGTAAAAATTCTTCACCAAAAACTAATGAAAATCCGTGGGATGAGTTCTTTGCGCCAATTTGGGAACCAAAGGCACCAAAAGCACCAAAGCAACGTACTCGTCCATCTAACGGTAAAGATGTGCCAGTAGGAAGTATTAAATCACAAGGAGGTGCTAACTTAAAGAAAAAGATTGGAGGAAATGAGATAGACAAGAAGGCTAAGTTACAACGTAAGGTCGAGACAACAACCAAAGTCAGTAATGTAAGCAACGACACATTGCATAAAAATAATAAGCTCGGGCCGTCTATAAACAAATCAGTGTCAACCATTAAGATGCCTAAGAAAATATCTGAACCCGTCAACAAAGCGAATAGAAGTATCAATAAAGAGAGAGGAACTATTAATCGATTAAATGACATTTCACACAATGACGTTTCAAAATCTGATTTACGAAGAAAGGCTGCGCCAGATCTTTCGCTCAAATATCCAAAGGCTGTATCCTGCCCACTTGAAGAAATGTTTGGTGAAACTATTTTTCCAAATTCTAAAAAACCGGATCTTGCTATTAAAATGCCCAGTAGTAGTAAAAAAGAAGATAGTAATAAAAGAGAGGATGGCAGTAATAAAAAAGAAGATAGCAATAGTAAAAAGGAGGGTAGCAGTAGTAAAAAAGAGTATAGTAGCAGTAAAAAAGAGGATAGTAGTGGTAAAAAAGAGAAAAGTGTCTCCGTTTCCGCTCACCACAAGCCTAAGGATTTAACTCATTTAAAAACGCTTAAAGACTATCAACGTGAAGCAGAAGCAATGGGCCACAAATTACCATCAGAGCGTGATCCCCCAAATACAATATATTATCCTCGTATAAAGCGTCTTCTAGACCCTGCTTCACTCAAATTACCTATTACGAATCCTAATCATCCTAAGAACGTGATTAAATACCTTTCCACGGTGCCACCACGACCACGACCAAGTCCTGTTCAGTTGAATAAGCTAGCACGAACCCAGAATTCCAATTTTGTAGCCTCGCAGTTTGCAACTAAAAGTCAAATACATCGTCCAGCAACTGAGAAAAAAGTCACTAGTATATCCAAAACCAATTTGGATGCTCGCCGAACTTCTTCCAAATCAGTCACTGAATTACATAAGATATCTAATATTAAGGGTGAAAAGCGTACACCACGAGAATTTGCTGTTGTGCGTGATTCACCACAAGCTAGAGATAAGATACATTTAGCGCGTAAGGAGTTATTACAATCTACAAGCAAAAAACGTATAGCACATGAAGAGTACCCAGTTCGCGATCCTTCTAATATCAAAAGAAGATTGACTAACAATACTCTGTCGCCTTCTACACAACAAATGGGCAAGAAACGAACAATGCATCTTTCACCTGAGCCATCTCGTCCTTCTAAACGCCAGCACATAAGAGATCGTGAAGATAATATTGAT